TGGAATTTAATAAAAAATGAAGTTCTAACTTTCCACCGAGGAATAAAACTGCAATCTACGAGATAGCGAAAAAAGAACAGTTTAAAGTGACTTGAGAGAGCCGGATTACAGTCGAGTTTAAGAACAGTCATCTATAATTCATTTTTTTCGGTCGCACTGTAAGAGTCCTTACGATTAAAGGTTGTTTAATTGGAAATAAGTAGCAATTGTCATTCCCAAGCAAATTGCTGTTCGTAGCGAACATCTGCCACGAAAATAAAACCAAATCAAGTGAGAACGATAATTATTGTTCGCGAAAGCGACTAAAGTGTTTCAAATGTAGGTAATTGGAAATTTTCGCTTTGTAAAAACGAACAAAACATCACTTGCAATATCATTAATGCAAAGTGGGTCACTTTTCTACTCAAGACGTGGAATCGTTTTGCTAAGTCGCACATATTTCACTGCTTCATTATATAGGAGTACATGAAAAAAATGGTGGCAGTTTTTGAAGAAATGAGGTCGAAATGTATAAAAACATCGACTTGGGTAATTTTTGAATAATTGAGCTTTTGGAAAAGTTAGCTAAAAAAATTGATATACAGATTCCGGAGTGCTGAGTCCAAAAATGGAGCGCGTTTTACAATATTTGATTTGAAGTTCAATTTTTAAAAAAATCCGAAAAAACTGTCACGTTTCAATGTGCGATTGTGGAAAAATAGTGGGAGTTATCTAGCGACGAAATGAGGCTGAAAATAACCTGTGTAAGTCGAAAACTACAAGAAAATGTCTTTAATTTAACTTTCCAAAGTGGTCGAAAAATTCCGCAATTTTCGTTATTAAGCGTTTGGAAAAATTACCAAAAAATTTACAAAATCAAAAATGTAGCGTATTTATGAACCTAGAGCAAGATTTTAGAAACATTAGATTAAGAATTCACTTTTTTGTAAATCCTAAAAATTGGCACATCGCGGTGGGCGATTCTGGAAAAATGGTACTCCTGGTATTTTTCGAAGAAATTAGGTCTAAAATAACTGTTGGAAGTCAAAATCGACAAGAATATCTCCTTGTACTACTAATAATAATTTTAAATTTCCAGGAAAATGGGGTGAGTAGTTCTTGATTTGATAAGTAAATTGATTGCCTTTTGAGTCACCCGTATAAGTATCTTTTTTTTTCCAAAAATCTGGCTAAAAAATTAAGACGGATTCATAAACTGCAAGTGTCTCCTACACGATGTTCCTAAAAAATATATACAATTAGGGGCCTGAAACGTCGAGAAAACTTGAAAGAAGACATCCGCCAGATGGACTCTATTAAAATACTTTCTTAGCCTATGCTCGGTAGGTAAAAATGATTATTATTTCAATTTACTCTAAATTATACGTTAAATTTAATTTGTTGTCTGTTTTTTTAATCCATAATAGAAAAAAAAAGTATACAACAGTTGAACAAATTTCAAGGGTAATAAAAAATTTTGAAAGTCTGTAAAACGCCATTGTTTTTAAGTTTGAAGAAGAAATAGCACATTTTTGGCCCTAGTGTCACAACACTAAAAAAAACTTATATTATTTTTTGAAGTCACGGCAAAATTTCAGTGGAAGATTTTTAAGTTACATAATTGGTATAATTCTGTACACAGCTGTATACTTATTTAATTTTTCACTAACAAAAAAAAATATAAAATGTAAGATAAAAATATACATTTTTGATGTTTCGTTAATCGATTTTTCAGTTTTTCAGTATTTTAGTTATGGGATTTTTCGGGATTTCGATTTTTCAGTTGTGGATTTTTCAATTCTTTTTAATTCAAAATATTTCGATTTTTGGACATCTCGGTTTAGATGTTTTGGTTTTTAAATTTTTCCCATGTTCAGTTTCTGGATTTTTCGATTTAATGATTTTTTAAATTTATGAAATTTTAACTTTTTTGATATTTCAGTTTTTCAATTTTTAGATGTTCAGATTTTTCGACTTTCCGGGTTTCGATTTTTCGATTTTCAACTTTTCGATGTTCTGATTTTTCAGTTTTGTGATTTCCCAATTATTCGAATTTCACTTTTAGAATTTTTCAATTTCGATTTTTCAGTTTTTAACTTTTATTGATTTTTTTATTTTTCGATTTGTCGAGAAATTTGATGTTTCGATTTTTAGGTTGTTCAATTTCTGGATTTTTAATTTTTTTTAATTCTAAAATTTTCAATTTTGATCATCTCGATTTTTGACTATTTCTATTCTCAATTTTTCGACTTTTAAATTTTTCGCTTGTTCAAGTTTCTTGATGTTCCGTTTATCGATGTTTCAGTTTTTCAATTTTACTTTTAGATTTTTCTATTTCTCGATTTCCCAATATTTCATCTTTCAGTTTTAGAATTTTGAAATTTCGATTTTTAGTTTTTAATTTTTCAATTTTTTTTTTAAATTCTAAAATTTTCAAGTTTCATCATCTCGATTTTTGATTATTTCTATTCTCAATTTTTCGATTTTGAAATTTTTTGATTTTTCGGATTTTAAATTTTTCGCTTGTTCAAGTTCTAGATTTTTCGATTTACCGATTTTCAAAATTTTTCTCTATTTCACGATTTTTGAGTTATTTCTACTTTTCAATTTTTCGATTTTTAAATTTTAGTTTTTAATTATTTTGATGTTTCGAGTTTTCTATTTCTCGATTTGTCGAGATTTCGATGTTTCTATTTTTCCGTTGTCCATTTTCTGGATTTTTCTGTTTTTTTTTTTATTCTAAATTTTTCAATTTTTGTCTTTTCGATTTTGGGCTATTTCTACCTTCAATTTTTCGATTTGCCGGTTTTTTTCTAATTTTAACATTTTTGATGTTTCATTTATCGATTTTTCAGTTTTTCAGTATTTTAGTTATGGGATTTTTCAGGATTTCGATTTTTCAGTTGTGGATTTTTCAATTCTTTTTTATTCAAAATGTTTAGATTTTTGGACATCTCGGTTTAGATGTTTTGGTTTTTGGATTTTTTGATTTTGAAATATTTCGATTTTTCGGTTTTTAAATTTTTCCGATGTTCAGTTTCTGGATTTTTCGATTTAATGACTTTTTAAATTTATCGAATTTTAACTTTTTTGATATTTCAGTTTTTCAATTTTTAGATGTTCAACTTTTCGTTGTTCTGATTTTTCAGTTTTGTGATTTCCCAATTATTCACCTTTCACTTTTAGAATTTTAAATTTCGATTTTTCAGTTTTTAACTTTTAGATTTTTTGATTTTTTTATTTTTCGATTTGTCGAGAATTTTGATGTTTCGATTTTTAGGTTGTTCAATTTCTGGATTTTTAATTTTTTTTTAATTCTAAAGTTTTCAAATTTTATCATCTCGATTTTTGACTATTTCTATTCTCAATTTTTCGATTTGTAAATTTTTCGCTTGGTCAAGTTTCTTGATGTTCCGTTTATCGATTTTTCGGTTTTTCAATTTTACTTTTAGATTTTTCTATTTCTCGATTTCCCAATTTTTCATCTTTCAGTTTTAGAATTTTTGAATTTCGATTTTTAGTTTTTAATTTTTCATTTTTTTTTTTAAATTCTAAAATTTTCAATTTTTATCATCTCGATTTTTGATTATTCCTATTCTCAATTTTTCGATTTTGAAATTTTTTGATTTTTCGGATTTTAAATTTTTCGCTTGTTCATGTTCTAGATTTTTCGATTTACCGATTTTCAAAATTTTTCCATGTTTCAACTTTTTTGATGTTACGTTTATCGATGTTTCAGTTTTTCCATATTTCACGATTTTTGAGTTATTTCTACTTTTCAATTTTTCGATTTTTAAATTTTAGTTTTTAATTATTTTGATGTTTCGAGTTTTCTATTTCTCGATTTGTCGAGATTTCGATGTTTCTATTTTTCCGTTGTCCATTTTCTGGATTTTTCTGTTTTTTTTATTCTAAATTTTTCAATTTTTGTCTTTTCGATTTTTGGCAATTTCTACCTTCAATTTTTCGATTTTTGAACTTTTGGGTTTAAATATTTTGGTTTCTCAATTTTTCGATTTACCGGTTTTTTTCTAATTTTAACATTTTTGATGTTTCATTTATCGATTTTTCAGTTTTTCAGTATTTTAGTTATGGGATTTTTCAGGATTTCGATTTTTCAGTTGTGGATTTTTCAATTCTTTTTAATTCAAAATGTTTAGATTTTTGGACATCTCGGTTTAGATGTTTTGGTTTTTGGATTTTTTGATTTTGAAATATTTCGATTTTTCGGTTTTTAAATTTTTCCGATGTTCAGTTTCTGGATTTTTCGATTTAATGACTTTTTAAATTTATCGAATTTTAACTTTTTTGATACTTCAGTTTTTCAATTTTTAGATGTTCAACTTTTCGTTGTTCTGATTTTTCAGTTTTGTGATTTCCCAATTATTCGACTTTCACTTTTAGAATTTTTAAATTTCGATTTTTCAGTTTTTAACTTTTAGATTTTTTGATTTTTTTATTTTTCAATTTGTCGAGAATTTTGATGTTTCGATTTTTAGGTTGTTCAATTTCTGGATTTTTCATTTTTTTTTTTTAATTCTAAAGTTTTCAAATTTTATCATCTCGATTTTTGACTATTTCTATTCTCAATTTTTCGATTTGTAAATTTTTCGCTTGATCAAGTTTCTTGATGTTCCGTTTATCGATGTTTCAGTTTTTCAATTTTAGTTTTAGATTTTTCTATTTCTGGATTTCCCAATTTTTCATCTTTTAGTTTTAGAATTTTTGAATTTCGATTTTTAGTTTTTAATTTTTCATTTTTTTTTTTTTAATTCTAAAATTTTCAAGTTCCATCATCTCGATTTTTGATTATTTCTAATCTCAATTTTTCGATTTTGAAATTTCAACCAAGTTTTAAGTTTCTTGTAGTGAAAAAAAACTACATATATTAAGAAAAACAAAAACAAAATATATGCGTAAAACGTATCCGTGGATTGCTCGCTTAGCCCGCGTTTCGTATTGTCCCCGCTACCAAGCCCGCATTTCTGTTTCACTCCATTAATTACCCCTTTTTGTTCCAGAAAGCCGCCTCAACGAGTACATCCGCCATTACGAGCCCCTAACTTACGACACAAGTGAAGTGCATCGATCCCATCGGCGGGCTAAACGGTCCGTCGTAAGAAACAATTTAGTGCACGTGTCCTTCCGGGCACACGATCGCGAGTTCCATCTAAGACTGAAGAGAGACCTCGATGTGTTCAGTGATTCGATGGAAGTTCACGGTCCTGAAGGCCCGATAGATGTCGACACGTCGCACATCTACACAGGACATCTCTTAGGTCAGTGCGGTCGCCCTTCTCGAGCGGGATTATCCAGATTCTGTTATTAATAGATCGAAACTGAATGCGGGCGGTATTCAGGTCAATGGGAAATTATAGCAATAATTGGTGATTAAGTGCGGTTTGCGTAGCTGCTTCGTCCTTTGATTGGTGCATGCTTCCTTTAATTACCCCTACAAACGTAATGTAGGTACGGATATTGGAATAATCGATTGTTGTGTATGGGAATGTCGGAGGAATGCTCATTTGGGTTATTCGAGGCATTGTGTGTTTAAGTAGATTGCGGATGGTTGTGTAGGTAGGGAATGCAGAGTTTACGGTTTAGTGAAAAGGTTGGATAATGGAACTATTTCATCGTTTACTAGACAAGCAGATTTGATACAAAGTGTTGACGCCTTTCGCCAACGAGATTGGCAGCTGTTACAGCAACACACACCGGCTGAATGATGAAATTTCACTATTAGATTAACAAGTTGATACTTAGTGTGGAACTGTCAGGCTGAAGGAAGAGTCCCAACCCTGATTTTCCAACAATAAGAGCCCGCAAGGGACACTACGGATAGCAGTGATAACGGTCTTATAGTAGACCCATATTAGTCCGTGCTCTGAGCAATTCAATTTTTTTTTTAATACCGTGACCGTAGATCCAATTTTCATCCAAAAAGAAACCATATTTTATATCCTGGTCTTTCATCATGAATGGTACAGAAGTTTCGCTGGTACCTGGATTTGGCGGGCCTAGCTGGCCATTGATTCCAAGTACCTGGTACCAAAATCTCAGTCCTTTACAAAGATTTGAATGAAATAGCCTGCACCACGCGAAGATGGGAGTCGACATAGACTAAATCCCGGTTTCCCGAACCCGAGGAGCCGGGTCCCCGTCGGCAGACAAAATGGGTTCCTGAAAAGGACTATCCATCCCTCTTCAGCAGGCAGACGTTCCAGTCACTCCTACGACCACGTTGTAGATGATGTAGATGTTTGCTTCCCGTTTCAGCATACTCTTTGCTACGGGAGCCCTAGTTGCTGGTGGTTTTCAGGCTCTTCTCAAGTCCTTTTGGGATTGCGAGCTCGAGTGACCCTCGACACCAAAAGTTCCTACTTTAACTGCATCGAATTGAACTTGAGGGGGTGGAATACCTTCGGAGATACCTCATAGATCTTCGTTTTCCGAGTTTTCGAATTTTCAGTTTTTCGACTCTTCGTGTTCTAGATTTTTTTTAATTTACCATTTTTTGATTTCTCATTTCAATTTTTGATGTTTTCGGTTTTTCAATTTTCAAATATTTCAGTTTCTCGATTTTTTCCATTTCTCCATTTCTTGATTTAGGACTTCCATTTACCAGTTTTCCGAATTTTAGTGTTTTCTATTTTCGATTTTACTTGAATTTCTCGATTTTTCGACTTTTCAATATATCGATTTTTGAATTGGTCGACTTTTCGATTCCTGGATTTTTCAACTTCAATTTTTCAGTTTCTCGATTCTCCAATTTTTTTGATTGGGTTTTAAGACTTAAAATTTTGATTCATCGATTTTTCGACTTTACGATAATTCTATTTTCCAAATTTTCAATTCGACGTTGCATATTTGGATTTTTCCACCTTTCAATATTTGCGGATTCGATTTTTTGGCCTTCAAATATTTCCATCTTAGGATTTTCAATTTTTGGAGTTGTCGATTTTGCTATATATTTCAATTTTTTGATTTTTAAATTATTCGATATCTCCGTTTTCCTAGTTTTCGAATTTTCAATTTTGCGACTTTTTGTGTTCTAGATTTATTCACGTTACCATTTTTTGATTTCTCATTTCAATTTTCGGTGTTTTCGATTTTTCAATTTTCAAATACATATTTCAGTTTCTCGATTTTTTCTATTCTTCCATTTCTTGATTTAGGACTTCCATTTGTCAGTTTTCCGACTTTTAGTGTTTTCTATTTTCGATTTTACTTGAATTTATCGATTTTTCAACTTTTCAATATATCGATTTTTTAATTGTTCGACTTTTCGATTTTTGGATTTTTCAACTTCAATTTTTCAGTTTCTCGATTCTCCAGTTTTTTTTCATTGGATTTTAAGACTTTACAAATTTTAATTCGATTTTTCGACTTTGCGATAATTCGATTTTTCGTTAATTCAATTTTTCGACTTTCCGATTTTTCAAATTTTCGATTCGACGTTGCATATTTGGATTTTTCCACCTTTCAAATATTTCGACTTTACGTTTTTTCAATTTATGGTGTTGTCGATTTTGCTATATATTTCAATTTTTTGATTTTTAAATTATTCGAGATGTCTATTTTCCGAGTTTTCAAATTTTCAATTTTTCGACTTTTCGTGTTCTAGATTTTTTCAATTTACCATTTTTTGATTTCTCATTTCAATTTTTGTTGTTTTCGATTTTGCAATTTTGAAATATTTCAGTTTCTCGATTTTTTCTATTTCTCCATTTCTTGATTTAGGACTTCCATTTATCAGTTTTCCGACGTTTAGTTTACTTGAATTTCTCGATTTTTTGACTTTTCAATATATCGATTTTTGAATTGTTCGACCTTTCGATTCCTGGATTTTTAACTTCAATTTTCCAGTTTCTCGATTCTCCAATTTTTTTCATTGGGTTTTAAGACTTCAAATTTTGATTCATCGATTTTTCGACTTTACGATAATTCGATTTTTCAAATTTTCAATTCGACGTTGCATATTTGGATTTTTCCACCTTTGAATTTTTTGTAGATTCGATCTTTTGGCCCTCAAATATTTCGATCTTAGGATTTTTCGACTTTACGATTTTTCAGTTTTTGGAGTTGTCGATTTTGCTGTATATTTCAATTTTTTGATTTTTAAATTATTATTCGAAAGCTCCGTTTTCCGAGTTTTGGAATTTTCAATTTTTCCACTTTTCATGTTCTAGATTTTTTCACTTTACCATTTTTTGATTTCTCATTTCAATTTTTGATGTTTTCGATTTTTCAATTTTTGATGTTTTCGATTTTTCAATTTTCAAATATTTCAGTTTCTCGATTTTTTCTATGTCTCCATTTCTTGATTTAGGACTTCCGTTTATCAGTTTTCCGAATTTTAGTGTTTTCTATTTTAGATTTTACTTGAATTTCTCGATTTTTCGACTTTTCAATATATCGATTTTTGAATTGTTCGACTTTTCGATTCCTGGATTTTTCAACTTCAATTTTTCAGTTTCTCGATTCTCCAATTTTTTTCATTGGGTTTTAAGACATCAAATTTTGATTCATCGATTTTTCGACTTTACAATAATTCGATTTTTCAAATTTTCAATTCGACGTTGCATATTTGGATTTTTCTACCTTTCAATTTTTCGTGGATTCGATTTTTTGGCCTTCAAATATTTCAATCTTAGGATTTTTCGTCTTTACGTTTTTTCAATTTTTGGAGTTGTCGATTTTGCTATATATTTCAATTTTTTGATTTTTAAATTATTGGAGATGTCCGTTTTCCGAGTTTTCGAATTTAATCAATTTTTCGACTTTTCGTGTTCAGGATTTTTTCACTTTACCATTTTTTGATTTCTCGATTCAATTTTTGGTGTTTTCGATTTTTCAATTTTCAAATATTTCAGTTTCTCGATTTTTTCTATTTCTCCATTTCTTGATTTAGGACTTTCATTTATCACTTTTCCGAATTTTAGTGTATTCTATTTTCGATTTTACTTGAATTTCTCAATTTTTCGACTTTTCAATACATCGATTTTTGAATTGTTCGATTTTTCGATTGCAGGATTTTTCAACTTCAATTTTTCAGTTTCTCGATTCTCCAATTTTTTTCATTGGATTTTAAGACATTTCAAATTTTTATTTATCGATTTTTCGACTTTTGCGACAATTCGATTTTTCGTCAATTCAATTTTTCGACTTTCCGATTTTTCAAATTTTCGATTCGAGGTTGCATATTTGGAGTTTTCCACCTTTCAATTTTTCGTGGATTCGATTTTTTGGCCTTCAAATATTTCAATTTTCAATTTTTGGAGTTGTCGATTTTGCTATATATTTCAATTTTTTGATTTTTAAATTATTCGATATCTCCGTTTTCCTAGTTTTCGAATTTTCAATTTTGCGACTTTTCATGTTCTAGATTTATTCACTTTACCATTTTTCGATTTTTCAGTTTTCAAATATTTCAGTTTCTCGATTTTTTCTATTTTCTCATTTCTTGATTTAGGACTTCCATTTAGCAGTTTTTCGAAATTTAGTGTTTTCTATTTTCGATTTTACTTGAATTTTTCGATTTTTCGACTTTTCAATATATCGATTTTTGAATTGTTCGACTTTGCGATTTTTCAAATTTTCGATTCAAAGTTGCATATTTGGATTTTCCCCCTTTCAATTTTTTGTGGATTGGATTTTTTTTAACCTTCAAATATTTCAATCTTGGGATTTTTCGTCTTTACGTTTTTTCCATTTTTGGAGGTGTCGATTTTGCTATATATTTCAATTTTTTGATTTTTAAATTATTCGATATCTCCGTTTTCCGAGTTTTCGAATTTTCAATTTTTTTCCACTTTTTGTGTTCTAGATTTTTTCACTTTACCATTTTTTGATTTCTCATTTCAATTTTTGGTGTTCCAATTTTCAAATAATTCAGTTCCTCCATTTTTTCTATTTTTCCATTTCTTGATTTAGGACTTCCATTTAGCAGTTTTTCGAATTTTAGTGTTTTCTATTTTCCATTTTACTTGACTTTCTCGATTTTTCGACTTTTCAATATATCGATTTTTGAATTGTTCGAGTTTTTGATTTCTGGATCTTTCAACTTCAACCATTCGATAACTCAATATTTGACATTTCAAATTTTCGATATTTCGGTTTTCCAGTTCTCGATTCCTTTATTTTTCCATTTCTTGATTTAGTACTTTAATTTTTCAGTTTCTCGATTTTTGGTGTTTTCTATTTTCGATTTTACGATTTTCAAATGTTTGAATTTCTTGAATTTTCAACTTTTCAATATTTCGATTTTTGAGTTTGTCATTTCGATTTCTTCAACTTGAATTTTCCAATTTCTCCATTCTCAATTTTTTTCCATTCGATTTTACGACTTCTCAAATTTTTATTTCAGATTTTTCGACTTTCCGATTTTTCATTATCTCCGACCTTTCGAGTTTTGTTGTTTTCGATCTTGCAATTTTGAAATATTTTCAGTTCTCGATTTTTTATATTTTTCCATTTCTTGATTTAGGACTTCCATTTATCAGTTTTTCGAATTTTAGTGTTTTCTATTTTCGATTTTACTTGAATTTCTTGATTTTTCGACTTTTCAATCGATTTTTGAATTGTTCGACTTTTCGATTTCTGGATCTTTCGACTTCAACTATTCGATAACTCGATATTTGACATTTCAACTTTTCGATATTTAGGTTTTCCAGTTCTCGATTCCTTTATTTTTCCATATCTTGAATAGGACTTCAATTTTTCAGTTTCTCGATTTTTGGTGTTTTCTATTTTTGATTTTACGATTTTCAAATGTTTTGAAATATTTTCAGTTCTCGATTTTTCGACCTCTCGATATCTAGATCTTTGAATTAATTTTTGGACCCTGTTTTTTTAAATTTAAAACAATCTTAAGGTTCTAGGTATACCTGTTTGGAAAGAGTGTGAAAGTGGTTTGGGGCCTTTAGTGTCTTTTCTTATTTGCCAAAATCAGTCTTATCTTAGCAGGTACTTAGCAACAGTTTTTACAATGCATGGTGGTATTCCATCTGGTCCAGGAACATTAATGGTCTGACCCGACCTGATTAAACCTGACCTAGAATGGTCAAACAATTCGATCGACCGATCATACAAACAGGTTGACCAGAATTTCGGGACTACAAATTCGGGACTTCAAGGGAAAGAACAGTAGGTCACATTGAAGGTCCCGGGACCTGCCACAATATACATAGTGTCTCTCGGACTGCAATCTCGCCTTTTTAGTTTCGGAGTATACAATGTCCCCCTGCAGATAATCCAGAGGTCCTGGGAGCGGGTTTTAAGCCCCACCGTGACCTCTGCCGCATTGGGTTGGACCCGAGGGGGTGGTAGAAAGCTCCTTTTCAGCGGAATCCCTCCGGGGACACCTTTTAGCTGCGTGAAGGACACGATTCTGGAATATCTTTACCGATAGTCTTGGTCAGCTCTTGTTAGAACTGTAAATCTTTTTGAGCTCATTAATGGTGAGGAGGAACGAGTTTCTGTTAATGTGATAGAAGTGTAACATCGTGAAAACTTGCCTTGAAATGCGTTGCTTCCAAGTATGAAAGAGCTAACTACGACTTAGGTAACTTTATGAAGTATCCAGCAGTTCCTTTTCGCTCGGTTGGAGCCGCAATAACACAAATCTCGAATATCCCATTCCAGCCGTCGGAGCTCGCACAGAAAACACCTTCTCGAAAGTTTTTGTTGGAATTGGTAACATTAGCAGACGTTTAAATGTTGCTGCAAAACTTTGTTCGAGTCTCTCCTTATGATTGATAGCTATTGGTAGTTTTTCCTTTATCTGCCATTGATTAATGTGTTTTCTGTGCCAATATCCTCAGCATTCCAGAATTAAGCAATTTATTATTAATTCGTAGACTTGTAATAAAACGCTCTCTCAAAACTTCCATTATTTATATTCCCGACGTAAAACAATCACTCGTTGTTGATAAATCAAGTTCTAATGGAATTGGAAATGATTAAAACGTATTGATGGTGTTCAGGTGAGCCCGGGAGTTCGGTCTTTGGGTCGTTAATTGATGGAGTCTTTGAGGGGAAGATCGTATCACCGAAGGGCTCATACTACGTAGAGAAAGCTCATCACTACTTTCCTCACACCACACATCCCAACAGAACATTCCATTCGGTTATTTACCATGAGGATCACGTCGAAGATCCATACGAACATCAGAGAGAGGGTAAGTTTTGCTTACTTCAACTTTTGTTTGTGTCGGAGGGAATTATTTGGATAGGCAGTTTTTCGATGAAGGGCGGGACGCTTTCAACGAACAACCGAGCTATTAACTTCTTTCGAAGCTCTCGAGATTTTTGCACTATACTGTCTAGATTTACCAGAAAACGACTTAAAACTAGTTCTGTTGCAAATTACTACATTACAATTTAAGCTATTAAGTAAGATTCTCTGTGAAACTATCGTCTAGTGTGTTCACGTTTGATGTTAGCTTCTCAGTAAATACTTACTTTGGAGAAGTTTAAAGCTTGCAACGTTGCACAAAGTAATAGAAATTCTTAGCGATACGACCTCTGCATACGAAACGAGCTACTGCTGCACTTTGTTTACTTTATGTGTTGGCAAAAATCAAAGCGAACCAGTACAAACGCAATGTCAATAGAAAAGTTCGTTTTACCTGTCGCAGGATATTTTAGACTCGTAATTTGCGACATCGCTAATGGGGAAAAATTGACAGAGGGTAAAATGTTGCACTAACAAACACCTTTTCAGGCAAATTGTCAACTCGTGTTTATTTGTGCTATTTTATACTTCAGTCGTGTGACTAAAGCAACAATAGAGCGACTTAATTGGACGCGCGAACGTGCACTTAATAAAAAGTGATGCAATAGCGCGATTTTTTTAATCTATTGAGAAGCCACACACTCGATTACATCCAAATTGGGTTGTATTTACTTTGGCAAACGAGATTAAGTTCATTCCACGAAGATTTACTCATATGGATCGTGATTGTAATCTTGTTTCACCTCGATGCGTCGACACAAAGTAGGGATCAAATGAGACTATTTGGAGGGTCGTTATGATTTAAAATTGTCAGTTCGAGACTAATACTAATAACGATGGAAATAATGTATAATTGGAATTTCCAGAGAGCAAAGTTGAATATACGAAGTCGGGACTAATATTTATTTCTGCTTTAATAAGTGGCAGTCGAGGTCGACATCTGTAAATAAATCCGACGCAACCGAGGGTTACAATTAGGCTCGAGGCGGAGCCGAGGTTTGCAAGTGGCAACCGAGGCAATGCAGAGATTGGCAAACAAATTCGAAGGGAAACCAAGGGTGGAAATAAGCCCGAGGCGGGACCCGAGTTGCAAAAATAGGAACAGTTTTGACGAGACAGCGTCACCGGAGAACTTGTTTGATCCACAGACCGGAGCGCGTTCAGGCCAATGTCGACTCTAAGCGTTCAGAATTTCTACGGGAAATAGTCATTTTAGATGTTCTATTTTTTCGTTTAACTAAGAATCGTAATCATGCAATCGATTTTTTCGGGAAAGTGCTGTTATTTTTATGTTTTAGAAGCATTTTCTATTAATTTTTATATATTTTGGTATTATTTTCCATACATTGTATGTTTTTAACATTGGGAAAACTTTTAGCAATAAAGCTGTCAGTGATCGAAAAATCGAAAAATTAAAAAAAAAAAAACAGATTGAAAAGTTTCCAAAACTGAAAATATTGAGAAATCGAAAACTTGAAAAATCGGGAAATCGAAAAATCTAAAATTTATAACATTGAAAAAGTAAAATATCGAAAAATTGTAAAATCGAAAATCCATCTAAATATGAAAAAATCAAAAAAATAAAAATTGGAAAATATAAAATTTAAAAAACGAGAAATTGAACAATTGGATAAATGAAAAATCGAAACATGGAAAAATAAAAAAAATGGAAAATGGAAATTTTTTTCGCCCTTTTCGTCTTTTTCGTCCTTTTCGTCCTTCTTCCTACTTTTCGTCCCTTTTCGTCCTTCTTTCTACTTTTCGTCCCTTTTCGTCCTTTCTCCTACTTTTCGTTTCTTTCGTCCTTTTTCTTCTTTTTTCGTCCGTTTCGTTCTTTTCGTCCTTTTTCGTCCTTCTTCCTACTTTTTCGTCCTTCTTCCTACTTTTTCGTCCTTTTCGTCCTATTTAGTCCTTTTTCCTACTGTTTCGTCCTTTTTTCTACTTTTCGTCATTTTCATTCTTTTTCGTCCTTTGTCGTCTCCTTTTCGTCCTTTTTCGTCCTTTTCGTCCTCTTTTGTCCTTTTTCGTCCTTTTCGTCCTCTTTCCTACTTTTCGTCCTTTTCGTCCTTTTTAGACCTATGTTGTCCTTTTCGTTCTTTTCGTCCTTATTCGTCCTTTTTCGTCCTTTCTCGTCTTTTTTCGTTCTTTTCGTCCGTTTTCGTCCTTTTTCGTCCTTGGATGTCCTTTTTCGTCCTTGGTTGTCCTTTTTCGTCCTTGGTTGTCCTTTTTCGTCCTTGGTTGTCCTTTTTCGTCCTTGGTTGTCCTTTTCGTCCTTGGTTGTCCTTTTTCGTCCTCCTTCTTTCTTTTAGTCCTCTTCCGTCTTTTTTCCTACATCTCGTCCTTTTTCGTCCTTTTCGTCCTTATGCCTACTTTTTTGTCCTTTTTCCTACTTTTCGTCCCTTTTCGTCCTTTTTCGTACTTATTTGTCCTTTTTCGTTCTTTTCCGTTCTTTTTCGTTCTTTCTTGTCTTTTTCGTCCTTTACTGTCTTTTTCGTCCTTTTTCGTTCTTTTCGTCCTCATTCGTCCTTTTTTATCCTTTTTTGTCTTTTTTCGTCCTTTTTCGTGTTTTTCATCCTTTTTCGTCCTTTTTGTCCTCTTTCGTCCTTTTCGTCCATTTTCGTTCTTTTCGTCCTTTTTTTTTCCTTTTTGTCCTTTTACGTCCTTCTTCATCCTTTTTCGTCCTTCGTCCTATTTTTTCGTCCTTTGTCCTATTTATTCGTCCTTTTTCCTGCTTTTCGTCCTTTTCGTCCTATTTCGTCCTTGGTCGTCTTTTTCGTCCTTGTTTCGTCCGTTTTCGTCATTTTTCGTTCTTTTGGTCCTTTTCCCTACTTTTCGTACAAGAAATCGAAAAACTTAAAATTTCAAAAATTGAAAAGTTAAAATATAGAAAAAAAAAGTTAAAAAATCACGAACTTAAAAAATCCAAAAACCGAAAAATCAAAAACCTGAAAAATTGAAGAACTGAAAAATCAAAAAATAGAGAAATCCAAATATCTAAAATTTAAAACGTGGAACAATTAAAATGTCGCAAAATTGAAAAATCAGGAAATCCAAACATCGAAAAATCTGAAAAATCGACAGATCGAGAAATCGATACTCCAAAATTTAAAAAACTGAAAAATTAAATATTCGGATGACTGAAAAATCGAAACATCAAAAAATTGGAAAATCGAAAAATTGAAAAGTCCAAAAGTAAAAAAATCGAGAAATAAAAAAATCCAGGAATCCAAAAATCGAAAAGTCAAAAAATGATTTTAACATTTGGGAAAAATTTTAGCAATAAAGCTGTCAGTGATCGAAAAATCGAAAAATTAAAAAAAAAACAGAGGTTGAAAAGTTCCCAAAACTGAAAAAATTGAGAAATCGAAAACTTGGAAAAATCGGGAAATCTAAAAATTAAAAAATCGAAAAATTGAAAAATAGAAATATTGAAGAACTGAAAAATCGAGAAATCGAAAAATCTAAAATTTATAACATTGAAAACGTAAAATATCGAAAAATTGTAAAATCGAAGAATCCATCTAAACATGAAAAAATCAAAAAAATTAAAATTGGAAAATATAAAATTTAAAAAACGAAAAATCGAATAATTGGATAAATGAAAAATCGAAATATGGAAAAAAATGGAAAATGGAAATTATTTTGGTCCTTTCCGTCCATTTTCGTCCTTTTTTCGTCATTTGTCGTCCTTTTTTGTCCCTTTTGGTCCTTTTTCGTCCATTTTCATCCTTTTCGTCCTTTCTTCTACTTTTCGTTTTTTTCGTCCTCTCTCGTCTTTTTCGTCCTTATTGGTCTTTTTCATCCTTTGCCGTGCTTTTTCGTCCTTTCGTCCTTTGTCCCACTTTTTCGTCCTTTTTCCTGCTTTTCGTCCTTTTTTCGTCCCTTCTTGTCCTTTTACGTCCTATTTTGTCCTTTTTCGTCCTTTTACGTCCTTCTTCGCCCTTGTCGTCCTTTGTCCCACTTTTTCGTCCCTTTTCCTGCTTTTCGTCCTTTTTTCGTCCTCTTCGTCTTTTTTCGTTCTTTTCGTCCTTTTTTGTCCCTTTTAGTCCTTTTTTACCCTTTTTCGTCTTTTTTCCTCCTTTTCGTCCTTTTTCGTCTTTTTCGTCCTTATTCGTCCTTTTCCAAATTTTCGTACTATTTCGTCCTTTGTCGTCTTTTTTCGTCCCGTTTCGTTCTCTTTCGTCTTGTTTCGTCCTTGCTTTTTGCCTACTTTTTTGTCCTTTTTTCCACTTTTTGTCCTTTGTCCTACTTTTCGTACGAGAAATCGAGAAACTTCAAATTTTAAAAATTGAAAAGTTAAAATATCGAAAAGTGCAAGGTTAAAAAATCACTAACTTAAAAAATCGAAAAACGGAAATATCAAAAACCTGAAAAATTGAAGAACTGAAAAATCAAAAAATGGAGAAATCCAAAAATCTAAAATTTTAAACGTGGAACAATTGAAAATATCGCAAAATTGAAAAATCGAGAAATCCAAACATCGAAAATTCAAAAAATTAAAATTCGAAAATCTGAAAAATCGAGAAATCGATACTCCAGAATTTGGAAAACTGAAAAATTAAAAACTCGGATAACTGAAAAATCGAAACATCAAAAATTGGAAAATCGAAAAATTGAAAAGCCCAAAAGTAAAAAAATCGAGAAATCAAAAAATCCAGGAATCCCTTCGCGCTTTCTGCTACTTTTTCGTCCTTTTTCCTGATTTTCGTCCATTTTCGTCCTTTTCGCCCCTTTTCGTCTTTTTCGTCCTTTCTGCTCCTTTTCGTTCTGTTCGTCCTTTTTTGTCCTTTTCGTTCTTTTCGTCCTTTTTTGTCTTTTTCGTCCTTTTTGTCCTTTTTCCTACTTTTCGTCCTTTTCATCCTTTGTCGTCCTTTTCGTCCTTTTTCGTCCGTTTTCATCCTCTTTCCTACTGTTCGTCCTTTGTCGTCCTTTTTGGTCCTTTGTCGTCCTTTTTGGTCCTTTGTCGTCCTTTTTCGTCCTTTGTCGTTCTTTTTCGTCCTTTTCGTCATTCTTCCTACTTTTCGTCATTCTTCCTACTTTTCGTCCTTCCTACTTTTCGTCCTTCCTACTTTTCGTCTTTGTTCGTCCTTATTCGTCCTTGTTCGCCCTTTTTCGTCCTGTTTCGTCCTTTTTCGTCCTTTGTCCTACTTTTCGTCCTTTTTCGTCCTTCGTCTTTTTCGTCCTTTTTCCTACTTTTCGTCCTTTTTCGTCTTTTTTCGTCCGTTTCGTTCTTTTTCCTACTTTTCTTCTTTTTTCATCCTATTCGTCCTGTTCGTCCTAATCCGTCCTTTTTCGTCCTTTTCCGTCCTTTTTCGTACTTTTTCATCCTCTTCGTCCGTTTTCGTTCTTTTCATCCTCTTTCGTTCTTTTCGTTCTTTTTTGTCCTTTTCGTCCTTTTTAGTTCTTTTCGTCCTTATTCGTCCTTTTTTCTCCTTTTTTGTCCTTTTTCGCCCTATTTCGTCCTTTTTCGCCCTTTTTCGTACTTTCCGTCCCTTTTCGTCCTTTTTCGTTCTTTTTCGTCCTTTTTCGTTCTTTTTGTCCGTTTTGTTCTTTGCCTACTTTTTATCCTTTTTCTTACTTTTCATCCGTTTTCGTTCTTTTTTGTCCTTTTTCGTCTTTTATCGTTCTTTTCCGTTCTTGTTCGTCCTTTTCGTCCTTTGTCGTCTTTTTTCGTCCTTGTTTCGTCCTTTTTCGTCCTTTTTCGTCCTTTTTCGTCCTTTTCGTCCTTTTTCCCACTTTTCGTCCTTATCTCTACTTTTCGTACAAGAAATCGAAAAACTTAAAAATTTCAAAAATTGAAAAGTTAAAATATCGAAAAGTGCAAAGTTAAAAAATCACGAACTTAAAAAATCGAAAAACGGAAAAATCAAAAACCTGAAAAATTGAAGAACTGAAAAATCAAAAAATCGAGAAATCCAAACATCGAAAAATCAGAAAATAAAAATTCGAAAATCTAAAATTTAAAAATCGAACATCTGAAAAATCGACAAATCGAGAAATCGATACTCCAGAATTTGGAAAACTGAAAAATTAAAAACTCGGATAACTGAAAAATCGAAACATCAAAAAATTGGAAAATCGAAAAATTGAAAAGTCCAAAAGTAAAAAAATCGAGAAATCAAAAAATCCAGGAATCTAAAAATCGAAAAGTCAAAACATCGAAATATTGAAAAATCCCTAAACTGAAAGAAATATCCAAAAAATTGAGAAATCGAAAGACCGAAAAGCAAAGTCGAAAAATCGTAAGCTTTAAAAATGGAAAAATTGAAAAATCAAAACAAATGAATATTCGAGAAATTGAAGGATTGAAGAAGTGAAAAATTGAAATTTTAAAAAGTTGAGGAATGGGAAAATAAAAAAAAAGATTACTTCAGAAATCGGAAAACTGAACTTTTTTCGTCCTTTTTGATAAATTTCCTTCTTTTCGCCCTTTTTCGTTCTTTTCGTCTTTTTTTGTCCTTTTTCGTCGTTGTTCGTCCTTCTTCCTACTTTTCCGTCATTTGTCCTACTTTTTCGTCTTTTTCCTACTTTTTCGTCCTTCTTCCTACTTGTCGTCCTTTTTCCAACTTTACGTCCTTCTTCGTCCTTTGTCGTCCTTTTCCGTCGTTTTCCGTCCTTTTGGTCCTTTTTCGTCCTTCTTCCTACTTTTTCGTCCTTTTTCGTCCTTTTTCCTACTTTTCGTACGAGAAATCGAAAAACTTCAAATTTTAAAAATTGAAAAGTTAAAATATCGAAAAGTTTAAAAATTGAGAAGTCGAAGTATAAAACAGTCGAACAATTGAAAAATCGAAAGTTTAAAAAGCGAAAAATTGGAAATCCAAAGAGTAAGAGGTCGTGAAATTGAAAAATACAGAACTCGAATAATTGAAAAATGGAGAAAAATTGAAGAATCGATAAACGTAAAAAACACAAAATTGAACAAAATATACAAAAATTGGGAAATTAAAAAACTGAAAAATTGAGAAATCAAAAAGTCAAAAAGCAAAATTAAAAAATCCAAAAATGGAAAAAGCAAAAACCTGAAAAATTGAGGAACTGAAAAATCAAAAAATCGTGTAATCCAAAAATCTAAAATTTAAAATATGGAACAATTAAAATATCGCAAAATTGAAAAATCGAGAAATCCAAACATCAAAAAATCAAAAAATTAAAATTCGAAAATTTAAAATTTAAAAAACTAAAAAATTAAAAACTCGAATAACTGAAAAATCGAAACAACAAAAAATTGGAAAGTCGAAAAATTGAGAAGCCCAAAATTAAAAAAATCGCGAAATCAAAAAATCCAGGAATGCAAACATAGAAAAGTCAAAAAATCGAAATATTGAAAAATCCCTAAACTGAAAGAAACATCAAAAAAATTGAGAAATCGAAAAACCGAAAAGCAAATTCGAAAAATCGTAAGCTTAAAAAATGGAAAAATTGAAAAATCGGAAAACTGAAAATTCAGAAACCTCAAAATTTGGAAAATCGAAAAATCGAAATATTTAAAATTCGTAAAATTGTAGAGGACAAAAATTGAGAAATCGGATCATTGTTTGCAAAAATCTTTACGTCGAAGGTAAAAACTCAACACGGATTCATAAACCATAACTGGACATTATCTATTAAATGATGAACAATGATGAATTAAGTTTGTTCACTTATAGAAAAATCGCTTAGAGTCGATATTGGCCTGAGCGCGCTCTGGCCTGTAGATCAAACAAGTTCCCAGGCGACCACAGGTCATGAAACGGTTTTATATTAAACGAATGAGCATCTAATTGGTAACATAAACACGGCTAAGTCCAGTCATTTCTATCAATTTGTTGTAATCGTTGCGGAGCGAGCGAGACGTTTTACTCAGATTTGAAAAAGTATACATCAAATTGAAAATTGTCAGCAATCCACGAACATAAACACCGATTGTTAGCGATATCTCTTCACTGTTATGATTACGGCCATTTCTGCGTCTGTTTCGAATATTTCCAAGACACATCATTCAAGTGAGTCAGTCGACCTAGAAAAAATTCTTTGTCTATGTTAACACACGTATTACGTTTATCTTTCATACTCATAAATATTTATGAAATTCATAACTATAACGTTGCGAAAAATTACCAGTGTTTGTTTTATTTTTCAATCTTTCAATGTTATGAATAATAATCAGGTCATTCTTTTTCATGGCCGTTTTATTGGCAGGGATTGGAATTGGGGCGCATTAAAAAATAGCGAATTGTTTGATTTATTTAAGATGTGTTTCGTGGAAATTTGACAAATTAATCGTCAATTGCTTTGCTAGTGTTATATGTGTTTTGTCTGGGTTTCTGGTTGAGCGGAGTGCTATTGTCTTGTTCTTAACAATAAGTTGTGCATTTACACTCCAATGAAGAAAATGTGGTAAATGATAACCAATTGATTCCATTTTATGAAAGCAGACTGTAACTCCTTCGATATCAATCAATATAATGGCACATTAGTTTGTCGCAGAAGCATTTATTTAAAAGGCCATCTTGAAAATTGGTCTATTTCAATTCATGTTGGCATGCGTTCTATCGATCCTATTGAATCATCATTTTATGATCGGTTTTTGTGTGCATGAAAACGACGGAGCATCGGTAAATTTTGCCTTTTTGCGCTCTTTCCAGGTTTAGTAAGGACGTTTTTCAAAGAGGCGGCACACTTGTAGCTCTGTTCTCGTTTGTAGTAAGCGGCACATAACTACACTTATCCAGATTAATTCTTTGTTCCGTCTTAATTTAGTGTAATTAACGCTGATCGCGATTCGAAATCTCATTGTTCTCTTTTAAAGGTCATTCCGCAGGTTGTGGCATTAACGAGCAAACAATCCAGTGGATGGAAAAAATCCAGACCGCTGGTATCGACGAAGAACCGCCTCCGTCTGCGCCGCCTCCATCCAAAGAAGCATTCCGAAAGCATAAGAAGTTCACCACTAAAGATAAAGTTCAAATCAAATCCGTCGATAATTACGAGGATAACCTCAGCAAGTATTCGAGAGAAGCGAACAAAGAGGAACACGCGAGGCACAAGAGGGCCACCCGCAGGGACGAAAACAAGAATACTTGCTCGTTGTATATTCAAACCGATCCACTTATATGGAAGCACATAAGGGAGGGATTTCCAGAGGTAAAAACTTGAGGTGGATTGCGGTAAGGAACGAAGTTTTAATGATGTTTGAAATTCATGGTGGCGAAGACGCGATTGAGTAATAACTCAATATGTGTCGTTGGGGAACTGGTTTGCGGCAAAGGCCAACGCGACGACACGCGACTTTCACCTTTCTACATGCTAAATTTTTAATTTAATTTAATTAATTTTAAATTTGCGTCTGGCAGGTGATTTTGAAAGTTTAGTCGACGTGGCGAAAAAATAACCCTCGACTCGACATTGAACGGACTAATGACACAACCATTGAAGCAAATTAATTCGGTTATTATGCTCGCCTGTCTCCGCGTATGCCGAATTAGATTCATTAAAGCAATTTCGCTGGCTTATTCGTTTCATACCGACTACTTCACAAAGAGCTAATTAACCCATGTCACCGTCTTTGCATGACTCTCTGTCTTTTTCAGAACGGGGATTCCCGCAAAGCGAGCGAACTCAACGAAAAGATCCGAGAAGAAATCCTCTCGTTAATCGCACACCACGTTACTGCTGTTAATTACATTTATAGGGATACGAGATTCGACGGAAGGAGCGAACATCGGAATATTAAATTCGAAGTTCAGAGGATTAAGGTAAATACCCGTCGGGTTTTTGAGATTTTAATTTAAAGAAAATATTAGGTTGGTACGAGTGACAGAATGGAAATGGTGTGCCGGGATTCGTTTTTTTTTTTTTTTACTCCGTATTCGCTCCAATATGTGATCGTTGTGCTGAACAGGCTTTTAGCCTCGAGTGTTTCAAAGTTGAGAGTACAGACGCACTATAACCCCTTTTAGAACCTCTCCTGACGTCTTGAGGGTGCTCGATCTTGCGACTGTTGGAATGAGGAATTTGTCGATTATTGGAAGTCGGCGTTTTTATTATAACTTCTGAAAAGTAGAGTCGTTTCGTGGAAGTACACGATTGCATGAAATAGGTATTTTTATTTATAGATAATTGTTTCGAAGAGTTCGTGTTTGTTACGGTCAGCAGACCGGCGAAAGCGACGAACGAAGTTTACCGAGAGGAAATTTTTCTGCAATACGGCACTCGAGATTTTATTGCAAAAAAGTTATCAAATAAATTTCCACCATATAAGCTGAAGGTTAACACGGCATAAAACAGGGATATCACGATATTATGTTCCAGTTTTTTTCTGGTGTGTTAAATCGATGGAAATAATATGCAGGTGTCCCCAGAGATATATGAAGAAAATAACCGCGTCGTAATATTTCACCGGGAATAATGGATCGGGTACTAAATTGAGTGCCGTCGTTTCAATGCGTAATTTAAAAAAAATGTAGCGTGTTCTATTTATAAATAGGGTGGATTTTTTTTTTCTTTTTCGGGGTAAAAGATGCTGCAGTCCGCAGAATATCTTGTATAAGATCACGATTGATTTTTCTTGTCCACCGTATTTCCTAAAGTTTAATCTCTGGTTTTGAATGGTGACCTGTTTTCTATTCTGTGTGGGTTTTATATTGCAGATTCTGGTAGCGATCACGTTTATGTTTTATTTCTCAGTACACAAAATGTTATGCTCGCGATAAAAGTCATTGAGGGGCATAATCGGGCGTAATAACGGTGTATATTACATAATTTCAAATACTGCTAGCTTAAAGCGCTCATTACCGCACTGGCTGCTTCCGATCAAAAGTGCTCAGTAGGCAGTACACTTTTCATAAATCGTAACATCTTGAATGTGAAAAGTAGGTCTGCCGTTCCGTTTGTTTGTCGTTTGAACATCAACACGCTATATTTTTGGAATTAGTATATCGAGATCTACGTCCCTGAATTTTTTCAGAATTTTTAGACAACTTTTGTAAAAGTGAAATTTTTCCAATGGTCCCCCTTCTTCAAATTTTTGCCAAAATTTGACATTTTCGAAACTTAACTAAATACATTTTCTTGTAGATTTCGAGCTCTAGAACTCATTTCCGGTCTCGTTTTTTGATAACTCCAACGGTTTTTCCAGAATCGACTATTGAAATATCGGAATTTTTAGAAATTTCCAAAAATCCGCATTTCGTACCGATTCTTTCTAAGATGTTGCTCCGTGACCATCGACACGCTATATTTTTTGGATCAGCATTACGAAATCTACGTCCCTGAATTTTTTCAGAATTTTTAGACAACTTTTGTAAAAGTGAAATTTTTCCAATGGTCCCCCCTTCTTCAAATTTTTGCCAAAATTTGACATTTTCGAAACTTTACTAAATACATTTTCTTGTAGACTTCGAGTTCTAGAACTCATTTCCGGTCTCGTTTTTTTGATAACTCCAACGGTTTTACCGGAATCGATTGTTGAAATATCGGAATTTTTAGAAATATCCAAAAATTCGCATTTCGGACCGATTCTTTCTAAAATATTGGTCCGTGACCATCGACGCGCTATATTTTTGGAATCAGCATGTCGAGATCTCCGTCCCTGAATTTTTTCAGAATTTTCAGACAACTTTTGTAAAAGTGAAATTTTTCCAATTGTCCCCCCTTCTTCAAATTTCGGCCAAATTTTGACATTTTCGAAACTCAACTAAATACATTTTCTTGTAGATTTCGAGCTCTAAAACTCATTTCTGGTTTCGTTTCTTTGATAGCTGCAACCGTTTTTCCGGAATCGATGGCTGAAATATCGAAATTTTTAGAAATCTTCAAAAATTCACAGATCGTACAGATTTTTTCGAAAATGTTGCTCGGTGACCATCAACACGCTATATTTTTGGAATCAGCATGTCGAGACTTACTTCCCTGAATTTTTTCTAAATTTTTAGACAAATTTTTTAAAAATAAAATTTTTCCAATGGTCCCCCCTTCTTCAAATTTCAGCCAAATTTGGACATTTTCGAAACTTAACTAAATACGTTTTCTTGTAGATTTCAAGCTCTAGAACTCGTTTCTGCTTTCGTTTCTTTGATAGCTGCAACCGTTTTTCCGGAATCGATGGCTGAAATATCGAAATTTTTAGAAGTTTTCAAAAATTCGCTTTTTGTACCAATTCTTTCGAAAATGTTGCTCCGTGATCATCAACACGCCATATTTTTGGAAACAGCATGTCGAGATCTACGTCCCTGAATTGTTTCAGAATTTTTAGACAACTTTCTAAAAGTGAAATTTTTCCAATGGTCCCCCCTTCTTCAAACTTCGGCCAAATTTTGACATTTTCGAAACTCAACTAAAAACATTTTCTTGTAGATTTCGAGCTCTAAAACCCATTTCTGGTTTCGTTTCTTTGATAGCTGCAACCGTTTTTCCGGAATCGATGGCTGAAATATCGAATTTTTTTAGAAATTTCCAAAAATCCGCATTTCGTATCGATTCTTTCGAAAATGTTGCTCCGTGAACATCGACACGCTATATTTCTTGAATCAACATTACGAAATCTACATCCCTGAATTTTTTCAGAATTTTTAGACAACTTTTGTAAAAGTGAAATTTTTCCAATGGTCCCCCCTTCTTCAAATTTTTTCCAAAATTTGACATTTTCGAAACTTAACTTAATACACTTTCTTGTCGATTTCCAATTCTAGAAATTATTTCCGGTCTCGTTTTTATGATAACTTCAACGGTTTTTCCGGAATCGACTGTTGAAATATCGGAATTTTTAGAAATTTCCAAAAATTCGCATTTCGGGCCGATTCTTTCTAAAATGTTGCTCCGTGACCATCGACACGCTATATTTTTTGAATCAGCATTACGAAATCTACATCCTTGAATTTTTTCAGGATTTTTAGACAACTTTTGTAAAAGTGAAATTTTTCCAATGGTCTGCCCTTCTTAAAATTTTTGCCAAAATTTGACATTTTCGAAACTCAACTAAATACACTTTCTTGTAGATTTCGAGCTCTAGAACTCATTTCCGGTCTCGTTTTTTTGATAACTCCAACGGTTTTTCCGGAATCGACTGTTGAAATATCGGAATTTTTAGAAATTTCCAAAAATCCGCATTTCGTGCCGATTCTTTCTAAAATGTTGCTCCGTGACCATCGACCCGCTATATTTTTGGAATCAACATGTCCAGATCTGCGTCCTTGAATTTTTTCAGAATTTTTAGACAACTTTTGTAAAAGTGAAATTTTTCCAACGGTCCCCCCTTCTTCAAATTTTTGCCAAAATTTGACATATTCGAAACTTAACTAAATACATTTTCTTGTAGATTTCGAGCTCTAGAACTCATTTCCGGTCTCGTTTTTTTGATAACTCCAACGGTTTTTCCAGAATCGACTGTTGAAATATCGAAATTTTTTAGAACTTTCCAAAAATCCGCATTTCGTATCGATTCTTTCGAAAATGTTGCTCCGTGACCATCGACACGCTATGTTTTTTGAATCAGCATTACGAAATCTACATCCCTGAATTTTTTCAGAATTTTTAGACAACTTTTTTATAAGTGAAATGTTTCCAATTGTCTTCTTCCCTTCTTCAAATTTTTGCCAAAATTTGACATTTTCGAAACTTAACTAAATACACTTTCTTGTAGATTTCGAGCTCTAGAACTCATTTCCGGTCTCGTTTTTTTGATAACTCCAACGGTTTTTCCGGAATCGACTGTTGAAATATCGGAATTTTTCGAAATTTCCAAAAATTCGCATTTCGTACCGATTCTTTCGAAAATGTTGCTCCGTGACCATAAACACTATATATTTTTAAAATCAGCATGTCGAGATCTACATCCCTGAATTTTTTCTGAATTTTTAGACAACTTTTGTAAAAGCGAAATTTTTCCAATAGTCCCCCCTTCTTCAAAATTTTGCCAAAATTTGACATATTCGAAACTTAACTAAAAACATTTTCTGGTAGATTTCCAGCTCTAGAACTCATTTCCGGTCTCGTTTTTTTGATAACTCCAACGGTTTTTCAAGAATCGACCGTTGAAATTTCGAAATTTTTAGAAATTTCCAAAAATTCGCATTTCGTATCGATTCTCTTTAAAATGTTGCTCCGTGACCATCAACACGCTATATTTTTTGAATTAGCATTACGAAATCTACATCCCTAAATTTTTTCAGAATTTTTAGACAACTTTTGTAAAAGTGAGATTTTTCCAATGGTCCCCCCTTCTAAAAATTTTTGCCAAAATTTGACATTTTCGAAACTTAACTAAACACATTTTCTTGTAGATTTCGAGCTCTAGAACTCATTTCCGGTGTCGTTTTTTTGATAACTCCAACGGTTTTTCCGGAATCGACTGTTGAAATATCGGAATTTTTAGAAATTTCCAAAAATTCGCATTTCGTACCGATTCTTTCTAAAATATTGCTCCGTGACCATCGACACGCTATATTTTTGAAATCAGCATGTCCAGATCTACGTCCCTGAATTTTTTCAGAATTTTTAGACAACTTTTGTAAAAGTGAGATTTTTCCAATGGTCCCCCCTTCTTCAAATTTCGGACAAATTTTGACATTTTCGAAACTTAACTAAAGACATTTTCTTGTAGATTTCAAGCTCTAGAACTCATTTCCGGACTCGTTTTTTTGATAACTCCAACGGTTTTTCCAGAATCGACTGTTGAAATATCGGAATTTTTCGAAATTTCCAAAAATCCGCATTTCGTACCGATTCTTTCTAAAATGTTGCTCCGTGACCATCGACACGCTATATTTTATGAATCAGCATTATGAAATCTACATCCGTGAATTTTTTCAGAATTTTTAGAAAACTTTTGTAAAAGTGAAATTGTTCCAATGGTCCCCCCTTCTTCAAATCTTTGCCAAAATTTGACATTTTCAAAACTTAACTAAATACATTTTCTTGTAGATTTCGAGCTCTAGAACTCATTTCCGGTCTCGTTTTTTTGATAACTCGAACTGTTTTTCCGGAATCGACTGTTGAAGTATCGGAGTTTTTCGAAATTTCCAAAAATCCTCATTTCGTACCGATTCTTTCTAAAATGTTGCTCCGTTACCATCGATACGCTATATTTTTGGAATTAGCATGTCGAGATCTACGTCCCTGAATTTTTTCAGAATTTTTAGAAAACTTTTGTAAAAGTCAATTTTTCCAATGGTCCCCCCTTCTTAAAATTTTTGCCAAAATTTGACATTTTCGAAACTTAACTAAATACATTTTCTTGTGGATTTCGAACTCTAGAACTCATTTCCGGTCTCGTTTTTTTGATAACTCCAACGGTTTTTCCAGAATCGACTGTTGAAATATCGGAATTTTTCGAAATTTCCAAAAATCCGCATTTCGTACCGATTCTTTCTAAAATGTTGCTCCGTGACCATCGACACGCTATATTTTATGAATCAGCATTATGAAATCTACATCCGTGAATTTTTTCAGAATTTTTAGAAAACTTTTGTAAAAGTGAAATTGTTCCAATGGTCCCCCCTTCTTCAAATCTTTGCCAAAATTTGACATTTTCAAAACTTAACTAAATGCATTTTCTTGCAGATTTCGAGCTCTAGAACTCATTTCTGGTTTCGTTTCTTTGATAGCTGCCACCGTTTTTGTAAAATCGATCATTGAAATATCGAAATTTTTAGAAATTCGCAAAAATTCAAATTTCGTACCGATTCGTTCGAAAATGTTGCTCCGTGACCATCAACACGCTATATTTTTGGAATCAGCATGTCGAGATCTACGTCCCTGAATTTTTTCAGAATTTTTAGTCAACTTTTGTAAAAGTGAAATTGTTACAATAGTCCCCCCTTCTTAAAATTTTTGCGAAATTTCGACATTTTCGAAACTTAACTAAATACTTTTTCTTGTAGATTTCGAACTCTAGAACGCATTTCCGGTCTCGTTTTTTTGATAACTCCAACGGTTTTTCCGGAATCGACTGTTGAAATATCGGAATTTTTAAAAATTTCCAAAAATCCGCATTTCGTACCGATTCTTTCTAAAATGTTGCTCCGTGACCGTCAACACGCTTTATTTTTGGAATCAGCATCACGAAATCTACGTCCCTGAATTTTTTCAGATTTTTTTGACAACTTTTGTAAAAGTAAAATTTTTCCAATGGTCCCCCCCTTCTTCAAATTTTTGCCAAAATTTGACAATTTCGAAACTTAACTAAATACATTTTCTTGTAGATTTCGAGCTCTAGAACTCACTTCCGGGCTCGTTTCTTCGATAACTGCAGCCGTTTTTCCGTAATCGGTTGTCGAAATATCGGAATTTTTAGAAATTCGCAAAAATTCAAATTTCGTACCAATTATTTCGAAAATGTTGCTCCGTGACCATCAACATGCCATATTTTTGGAATCAGCGTATCGAGATCTACGTCCCTGAATTTTTTCACAATTTTTAGACAACTTTTGTAAAAGTGAAATTTTTCCAATGGTCTTCTTAAAATTTTTGCTAAAATTTGACATTTTCGAAATTTAACTAAATACATTTTCTTGTAGATTTCGAGCTCTAGAACTCATTTCCGGTCTCGTTTTTTTGATAACTCAAACGGTTTTTCCAGAATCGACTGTTGAAATATCGAAATTTTTTTGAAATTTCCAAAAATCCGCATTTCGTATCGATTCTTTCGAAAATGTTGCTCCGTGACCATCGACACGCTATGTTTTTTGAATCAGCATTACGAAATCTACATCCCTGAATTTTTTCAGAATTTTTAGACAAGTTTTGTAAAAGTGAAATTTTTCCAATGGTCCCCCCTTCTTCAAATTTTTGCCAAAATTTGACATTTTCGAAACTTGTCTAAATGCATTTTCTTGCAGATTTCGAGCTCTAGAACTCATTTCTGGTTTCGTTTCTTGGATAACTGCAACCGTTTTCCCGGAATGGATGGCTGAAATATCGAAATTTTTAGAAATTCACAAAAATCCGCATTTCGTATCCATTCTCTCGAAAATGTTATTCCGTGACCATCAACACCCTATATTTTTGAAATCAGCATGTCGAGATCTACGTCCCTGAATTTTTTCAGAATTTTTAGAAAACTTTTGTAAAAGTGAAATTTTTCCAATGGTCCCCCTTCTTCAAATTTTTGCCAAAATTTGACATTTTCGAAACTTAACTAAATACATTTTCTTGTAGATTTCTAACTCTAGAACTCATTTCCGGTCTCGTTCTTTTGATAACTCCAACGGTTTTTCCAGAATCGACTGTTGAAATATCGGAATTTTTAGAAATTTCCAAAAATCCGCATATCGTACGGATTCTTTCAAAAATGTTGCTCCGTGACCATCAACACGCTATATTTTTGGAATCAGCATGTCGAGATCTACGTCCCTCATTTTTTTCAGAATTTTTAGACAACTTTTTTAAAAGTGAAATTTTTCCAATGGTCCCCCCTTCTTCAAATTTCGGTCAAATTTTGACATTTTCGAAACTCAACTAACTACATTTTCTTGTAGATTTCTAACTCTAGAACTCATTTCCGGTCTCGTTTTTTTGATAACTGCAACGGTTTTTCCAGAATCGACTGTTGAAATATCGGAATTTTTCGAAATTTCCAAAAATCCGCATTTCGTACCGATTCTTTCTAAAATGTTGCTCCGTGACCATCGACACGCTATATTTTCGGAATCAGCATGTCGAGATCTACGTCCTTAATTTTTTTCACAATTTTTAGACAACTTTTTTAAAAGTAAAATTTTTCCAATTGTCTTCAAATTTTTGCCAAAATTTGACATTTTCGAAACTTAACTAAATACATTTTCTTGTAGATTTCGAGCCCTAGAACTCATTTCCGGTCTCGTTTTTTTGATAACTCCAACGGTTTTTCCAGAATCGACTGTTGAAATATTGGAATTTTTCGAAATTTCCAAACATCCACGTTTCGTACCGATTCTTTCGAAAATGTTGCTCCGTGACCATCGACACGCTATATTTTTTGAATCAGCATTATGAAATGTACATCCCTGAATTTTTTCAGAATTTTTAGACAACTTTTGTAAAAGTAAAATTTTTCCAATGGTCCCCCCTTCTTCAAATTTTTGCCAAAATTTGACATTTTCGAAACTTAACTAAATACATTTTCTTGCAGATTTCTAACTCTAGAACTCATTTCCGGTCTCGTTTCTTCGATAATGGCAGCCGTTTTTCCGTAATCGACTGTTGAAATATCGGAATTTTTAGAAATTTCCAAGAATTCGCATTTCGGGCCGATTCTTTCTAAAATGTTGCTCCGTGACCATCAACACGCTATATTTTTGGAATCAGGTTGTCGAGATCTACGACCCTGAATTTTTTCACAATTTTTAGACAACTTTTTTAAAAGTGTCATTTTTCCAATGATCTTCAAATTTCGGCCAATTTTGACATTTTCGAAACTCAACTGAATACATTTTATGTAGATTTCGAGCTCTGGAACTCACTCCCGGCGTAGCTTTTTTGATAACTCAAACCGTTTTTCCAGAATCGACCGTTGATATATCGAAAATTTTTAGAAATCTAAAAAAAATCGCGTTTCGTACCGATTCTTTCGAAACTCCACTCTTACTTCTTAGAATTGTTTATGTATTATAGATTCTCTGGTTTCGTCTTTGCAGTATCTACGCCCAGATTACCCGAAATATTAGCTATAATGCAATTTAATTAACGAAGATCTAATTATGCGCCATATCTCAGCGTTAATTAACATTACAGCTTTACACCTTTTGCTAATAACAGCCGCCGCACTTCGCAGCCACTCTCGAAACACTCGCGCCTCCCCAAGCCACCTTTCACCACTCTTCTCCATTTCCAGATCGACGACGACTCGCTGTGCAACTGCACCCACCACCGCACGACTCCATGCAGCGAGATGAACCAATTCTGTCTCGAAAACATCGACGTCAGCAACTTCCTCAACATCCACTCCTTGGGCAACCACGAGGACTTCTGTCTCGCGTACGTTTTTACTTACAGGGACTTCACCGGTGGAACTTTGGGCTTGGCTTGGGTCGCTAGCGCGTCTGGCGCTTCAGGGGGGATTTGCGAGCGGTACAAAACCTACACGGAGACAATCGGGGGGATGTACCAATCCACGAAGCGCTCCTTAAACACAGGAATCATCACTTTCGTCAATTACAACAGCAGAGTGCCTCCGAAGGTGTCGCAACTGACTTTAGCGCACGAAATCGGCCACAATTTTGGCTCTCCGGTAAGTTTTGGTTGATTTGTGTGTGAGGAGGTGGTAATTTTGGTTGGATAGCACGACTACCCTCCGGAATGCAGACCCGGGGGTCTCAACGGGAACTTTATCATGTTTGCGTCGGCGACCAGTGGCGATCGCCCCAACAACAGCAAGTTTTCCAGTTGCAGCGTGGGCAACATCTCCAACGTGCTCGACGCGATCGAAGACAATAAAAAGCGGAATTGTTTCACTGCGTCGGCGGGCGCTTTCTGCGGTAACAAGATCGTGGAAGTGGGGGAGGAGTGCGATTGTGGGTACGACGATAACGAGTGTCAGGATAAGTGCTGCTATCCGCGGCAGTTGAGTCTGCAGGATAAGCAGGAGAACGCGTCGGCGAAGGGGTGTCAAAGGCGTCGAGGCACCCAGTGCAGGTAACTAAACCCGATCCTACCGACTGCGCCACTTTAGCGACTCGTTTTCAGCCCCAGTCAAGGACCTTGTTGTAGTGGTGATACTTGCCGCTTCGTCCCGGCGTACGCCCACGAGGTGTGCAAGACTGAGTCCGATTGTTCGTTGTCCTCCAAGTGCAACGGACTCACAGCGGAGTGCCCAAATCCGCAACCGAAAGCGGACAAGACACGATGCAATAACGGAACCCAACTGTGCATTAAGGGCGAGTGTACGGGATCAATATGTCTCGAGTGGAATCTACAGGCTTGCTCCATTACGTCCCAAGATCATCCCAATATCGATAAGAGGAAATTGTGCGAGCTGGCGTGCCAGAATGGTACGGATATATGTCGCAGTACTAGCGAGTTTGCTGACAAGGTGGGTCTGCCGACGGGAGGAATCAGCCTGAGGCCGGGATCACCATGCGACAATTTTCAGGTGAGTTTGTAACCATAAACACACTCCACAATATTTACAATTTAATCAATCCAACCGACTGCGCCATTTTCGCGTCCTTCCAAGCAAAGCTGCATAATTATCGTTTCTGTCAATTAATCTCAGCATTCTTGTTCGATATTCTTCCAGCAACTACTTCGCCCCAAATTAATTTCTCTCACTTGTCGGCCAGAAAATTGGAAGAAGATTAAATGAGAATTGAATCCTCGCACCGAGCCTCGTTATTACAAAGTAGTTTATGGAAATTAACATCAATGAAGAGCTTCTATCCAGAAAGTTAAATTATATTTGCAAACTTACCGGGAATTAGTAATCTCCTCAATCTGCATGCAAAAATAAGATTTGGAATAGTTCATTAAACGTGTGTATCTCTCAAGCTATCGCGAACTTCATAATTGTTGTATGACGTTTTCGCGTTATTCCGAAATTGGTTTTATGTTTTAGTTTGTTAATTTTATTTCCGACAAAAACGTTAACAAACACCGGCTTGCGTCGCTGTTTGAATTGAATTTAAAGTTTGCAAATGCAGGCGCCGGTGATATATTAGTTTTGGAATTTGGTTAAAACCGGCATGCTGTGCATGGGTGGCAAAAAGCAAAAGTTTGCTGCAGTCTCAACACAATTAAAGTTTATTTGTTTTGCGGGAATTGAATGTACACTGTTCGGGGAAACATATTCAAATCGAGTGAAAAGGATGCGATTGGGGAATTTAGTTTTTGGAGTGATGAAAATCGACTGGAGGTATAAAATCATAAAAAAATCCATGGATTAATTTCGTATAAGTGGTGTCTGGTTTTTTTGATTGTGGTTCGCTGCGCATTGTGACAGCAAAATATGTAAGTCGTCTCTTACAATATACAGCTTGTGGTATAGTGGGTTGCCTATAATACTATTTTACTTCTCGAGCGTAAGCTAAGGAAGTATTGTAATCGAGTCCATCGGGCGACTGGCTTAGACATCCAGATTTTTGAAAAAAAAAAAAAAAATAACAACATTTTACAATTTATGATCAAAATTTATCATCAGTTTTCCTTGTGCCCCAGAAATTGATGATGCCATCTTACATTTTTGTCCAATGAATGTTCTTATTTAAATATTTAAAAATAACATAGTCTTGAACTTGTGGTTTATGTATCCGTGTTGGATATTTATCGTAGACATCGAGATTTTTGGTTAAAAATAAAAATCGTAGCCATTTAACGATTTTATTTCTCAATTTTTCAACTTTGCGATTTCTCGATCTTTCAAATTTTTGGATTTCTCAAATTTTTCGATATTTCAGTGTTGGGATTTTTCAGTTTTCTCGATTTTTACTTCCCGAGCGTAAGCAAAGGAAGTATTGTAATCGAGTCCGTCGGCCGACTCTCTACTTTTACGTTTTCTCGATCTTTCATGACCCCTAGAAGACGAAGAAATAGGTCTCCCATTTCCGTCTGTCTGTCCGTCTGTCCGTCTGTCCGTCTGTTGTCACGGATTTTTATTAGACAGATAATCTCCGAAAGTACTCGACCGATTGTTGTGAAATTTTGTACTTATATTAAGAATATCATGTAGATGGTAAAACGCTAACCAAAATTTGTCGAATCATCCCCACCACTAAAGCGATGACGTCACTTCAAAATTGTACATAGTAAATGGGTTTTCAATTGTATAAAATAACATAGTCCTACACATGTAGTTTACAACTCTGAATCGACTTTTCACCCGAAACGTCCAGATTTTTGGAAAAAAAATCAAAATTATAAAACAACATTTTGAAATTTAATTTTTAATCTGCTAACCAGAATGCTTTGAAATGTTGCAGATGTTTTAAGGCTATAAAGAGCATCATAAATCTTTAGTCAAAAAATATTTGCTTATCCCCTCCAAAAACTTGATGACGTCAGCTCAAAAGTTTGTGGAATAAATCATATCTAAAATGTACAAAATATGATGAGTCTGTACTTGTGATCTATCACTCCATTAATATTTTTTGGATTTGCATATACAGGGTGACTCAAAAAAATTAATGAATGCGTAAATATATTTTATTGATTTAATCAGGAACTACAAAACCGAATGCTCTGAAATCTTGCAGATGTTTTAAGGTCATAAAGAGCATAATAAATGTTTAGTCAAAATATATTTGCTTATCCCCTCCAAAAACTTGATGACGTCAGCTCGAAAGTTTGCCGAATAAATCATATCTAAAATGTACAAAATATGATGAGCCTGTACTTGTCATTTATCACTCCATTCATATTTTTTGGATTTGCATATACAGAGTGACTCAAAAAAATTAATGAATGCGTAAATTTATTTTATTGATTTAATCAGGAACTACAAAACCGAATGCTTTGAAATCTTGCAGATGTTTTAAGGTTATAAAGAGCATAATAAATTTTTAGTCAAAATATATTTGGTTATCTTCTACAAAAAACTGATGACGTCAGCTCAAAAGTTTTCCGAATAAATCGTATCTAAAATGTACAAAATATGATGAGTCTGTACTTGTGATTTATCATTCCATTCATATTTTTGGATTTGCATATGCAGGGTGACTCAAAAAAATTAATGAAGGCGTGAATTTATTTTATCGATTTAATCAGGAATTACAAAACCGAATGCTTTGAAATCTTGGGAATATTTTAAAGTTATTATAAGCATGGTAAACTTTTGTTCAAAATGTATTTGTTCATCCCTCCTAAAAAAATTGATGACGTCACCCTTAAATTTTGCTGAATAAATCCTATCTAAAATGCAAAAAATATGATGAGTTTGTACTTGTGATTTATCATTCCATTCATATTTTTTAGATTTTCTTAAGAGGTGGTTCAAAAAAATTAATGAAGTCAATTTATTTTATTGATTAAATTAAAGGCAACACTTATTATTAGTATTACACCCCAACCAACCCAATTTGGTAGACACAAAATTTGTTAAAGGAAAAACTCGGTTGAAACATAAGGGTAGCACGCTTATTTACATCGACTTTAACATTACAGACCTGCATTTGTTTTATGCGTTCACTTGATTCCGCGAATGTGAAATAGACATGTTTATAATCAACCAATTCTGAATTTCACCGTCAAGAATTAAAATAAAACCCAATGTTTTATATAATAAGCGGAAGTCGAAGCAATAAAACCGACGGTCGTTTTGTTTACAGTTTCTGTGTTTGGCTCTCACGTATGCTGTTACGCCTGTCATCTTAAATTAACAATGTTTATACATACACGATTTTCAGTTGCCTCTGATACGTAGGTATACGTGAGTAAATTGTTTCGTTATTTTATTGATTATTACAAATCAATATTCAAATGACCCAATTCATTTTCCCGAAAATTTGAGAATATAATAATTTTATTCTTAGTATTACACTACATCTATCCCAACTGATATACGTGTCCTTGCAAAAATGTTGATGACGTCATCGCAATTTTTTTTTAAATTCCCACTACAAAAATGTAATGAGAAAAAAAACACAATAGGCATGCAGTCGTCAAGTTTCCGACAGCGAGGGAAGTACTGTCTAAACTCTTTAGACCAATTTTTTCATTTTTAGATTCCATAATTTTCCTATGTTTTGGTTGTACGATTTTTGAATTTTTCGTTCTTTAAATGTTTCAGTTTTTGACGTTTCCAAATTTTCAATTTTCTCAATTTTTCTGTTTCAGTTTTGTGTTTTTTCAGTTTTTTTATACTTCAATTTTTCTTAGATTTTTTAATATTTCGATGTTTCAGAATTGGAATTTCCCGATTTTTCAATTTTTGTTAGATTTTTAAAATTTTCCATATTACAGTTTTGAGATTTTTCAATTCAATATTTCGATTCTTCAATATTTTGATTTTTTTTTTTTTTGATGTTTGACATCAATTTTTTTTTCGATTTTTGGATATTTCGGCGTTTCAGTTTTGGGATTTTTCAAGATTTTGATTCTTCGATTTCTCTATTTCTCGATTTTTATTCAATTTTTCGATAAATTTTAATTTCTCAATTTTAAAATTTTAGATTTTTCAATTTCGCGGTCTGAGTTCTCCGATATTTCAATTTTTTAATTTTTCGAATTTTTAAATTAGTTTCTTATTTTTTTTTTTCTAAATTTTTTAATCTTTTCCTTTTCGATTTTGGGCTATTTCTATTCTCAATTTTGAAATTTTTGTGTTTTTTGGTTTTTAAATTTTTCGCTTGTTCAATTTCTGGATTTTATAGTATTTCGATTTTTCGATTTAACGATTTTTTAAATTTTTCAAATTTTATTTTTTTGTTTCGTTTTTCATTTTGGATTTTTCATTTTTGAACTTTCAATTTTTTAATTTTTCAATTTTTCGATTTTTTGATGTTTCAAATTCTCGATTTTTCACTTTTTCGATTCTTCAAATGTTCGATTAGGATTTTGATCTTTTATGTTTCTAAATTTTAGATTTTTCGATTTTTAATTTTTCACTTGTTTGATAGTTCTAGTTTTCAATTTTTCGATAAATTTTTTCGGTTGTAAAATTGTAGATTTTTCGATCATTGAGTTCTCAGATATTTCTACATATTTTTCAATTTTTGGAATTTTTAAATTTTAGTTTTTTCATCTTTTTGTTGTTTGATTTTCCGACTTTTCGACTATTGATTTTAGGTTTTTCGGTTTTTAAATCTTTCTATTTTTAAAATTTTGATTTTTCGATTTTTCGGTTGTTCAATTTCTGAATTTTTAAATTTTTTTAAAATTCAAAATTTTTCAATTTTTATCTTTTCGATTCGATATTTCTATTCTCAGTTTTTCGATTTTTGGACTTCTATATTTAGATGTTTCAGTTTTTCAATTTTAAAAATTTTTAATTTTCCCATTTTTCAGTTTTTCAATTTACAGATTTTATTTAATTATTCAAATTTTAACTTCTTTGATGTTTCGTTTATCGATATTTCAATTCCATTTCGTTTTTCCATGTTTCGATTTTGCGACTTTTCGGCTTTCGATTTTTTGATTTCCTAATTTTTCGTCTTTCAGTTT